CCGAAAGATATGTCCCTGTCATTATGGTCAGAATCTGTGAATGTGACCTTATTTGGAAAAAGATCTTGGCAGATGTAATTAAATTAAGGATCTTAAGATTTGATCATCCTGTATTATCTGGGCTGGTTTTAAATCTAATGACAATAACCTTGTAAGAGACACACAGAGAGGCACACTGAGGGGAGAGAGGGTGATGTGATGATGGAGGCAGAAACTGGGGCGATGCAGAGCAAGGAAAGCCAACAATTACCAGAAGCTGGAAGAGCAAGGAAGGATCCTCCCTCAGAGACTCTGGAAGGACTGCAGCACTGATGACACCTTGATTTTGGACTTCTAGCTTCCATAACTGTGAGAGAACAAATTTCTGTTGTTTTAAGCCAGTCCGTGATAATTTGTTGTTATGGTAGCCCTAGGAAATTAATAAAGTATGCATTTATATTTTTAAAATTATTGTTCTGATGTTGGATCATTTATAGAAATAGCGATTAACAAGACCGATTAACATCTATTCCTACCTACACCTGACCTCCCTCCAGTTAAGATGGAAAACCTGCTAAACTACCTACTTATCAAGCCAGTGAGGAACTTAGCTATTTGGGTCAGAGTCAACTGGGATAGCACTTCTCTTCCTTCCCTCCCTTCTGTCATCCCTCCCTCCTGCGCTCCCTTCTTTCTCTTCTCCCTGTTTCTAGTCTTCATTCCTTTTATTACACTCCCTCCCTCTTTCTCTTTTCCTCCAATACTCATTGGTGCTAGGTTCCTGGCACCTTGCAAGGGACAGCATGTTCTCACCAGTCCTAAATGCCAGGAGGAATGAAAGCAGAATCTGGAGACACTTTGCACACCCAACCTAGAGATAAATGCCGTCACTCCCGCATACCTTACCGAGAGCAGGACTTGCTCTCTGTGCCCACCTCCACCCACCCACACTCACTAACACACGCAACTCACGTTGCTTGGTAGAGGAAATGAATGACAGGATAACTCCAGTGGGTGTAGCTATAGGTGAAAATATTTCTACGTTTTTGGTAACTATATTTCTACCACTACAGTTAGAACCTGTTCTTGACAGGCTTGTCCATTGAAACTGGGGAAAGAGACCAGCCCACACAATTCTCCATGTCAGTGACACTGGGAATAGTGCTATTGTTGAGTATGGTGACTGTGGGGACATCACAAAGTGGGCTATGCACAGTTACAGATAAGGCATCGTCAAGACAGAAGTAATTAGGGTGGCAGTGTTGTTGTGAAGGCAGTGGTGATGGCAGGCCAGCGATGGTGGTAGTGACAGTGGAGTTGATAATGGGGAAAGTGATGCTAGTGGAGGTGATGGTGACACCGGCAATGAGGATGTTGGTGGAGACAGTAACTTATGGGGGGG